CCCCCCCCACGTGTTCAACACGCACCTGCCCCGTTCCCAACACGCCTTTCGGCTGTTCTCGACACGCCCTTCGGTCGTTCCCAACACCCTTCGGTTGCTCCCGGCACGTGGAACCGACTCGCCCTTCATCCATTCTGGGGCTCCCTACTAGATCCTACTAGGAATTCTTTAGGGGACATTTGAGAAACAGACATTTATAAGAACCGCTTTTGATTCCCATTTTTCCCAGCCCTCCACTGAACTTTGAGCCCTATCCCCACATCATAAACCTGAACCCCAAGACCAAAGCCTCAAGAGACTTTCTTCCTGCAGCTGCCTTGACTTGACCCAATATTGGAGTACTACACTTCAATAGTTTTTGGTTCCTGGGTTCTGATTATAACAACTTGTACCTAAAAAGTCTATACTTTTTTTTCTGGGGTGTACTAAACCCTAAACCTTAAACCCTAAACCCTAAACCCTAAACTAGAGCATTGAGCGCATCAGTCAGGACCTGGTCCGCAACTTTGCGGAGACCACTGGCTTGGCTGTGAAGCCAATAGCTCCACCAGCTTTACCTGCTGAAGATGAGCCAGAGCCTTAGAGGGTTTAGGGTTTAGGGTCAGGGTTTAGGGTTTGGGGTTTAGGGTTTAGGGTTTAGAGGCTTATAGTCCCCGTCTACAGTAGATAGAATATGGGGAATGGAAAAGAAAATGGAAGCTACTATAATGTGTTATATATGGTATAGAATATGGGGTATATGGGGATCTTATTGCAATATAGCCCCCCTTAAGTAGATAGAATATGGGGGGTTATATTATTGGGGTTACATAGGGATAATGGAAAATAAAATGGAAACTACTCTTTAGGGTTTAGGATTTTGGGGTTATAGGGGTTATATAGGCATAATGCAGAAGTAGATGGAAACTATTATATTATATAATAGGTTATATATTGGGGTTATAGTCCCTCTCAAGTAGATAGAATATGGGGTTTATGGGGATTTTACCATTATTTACCCAAAGCCAAATTCTATCTGCGTAAGGGAGACTATATAAAGTTTGGGGTTTATGAATGTCGCTTGGGGGTCCCAGTACAAGGATGACGTGGGCCGGAGCCTGATGCTTGGACGCTCGGTGGACTGAATAATGAAAAGTCTATGAAGCCTGAGCAAGAACTTGCTATCATCTTCATTACAATAGAAGGGGCTGCAACAGCAGGGGGTCCGAATATGTGAGGATGCATCACGTGAGAGCAGCCAAACTGTGAGGATGCTCCCGGCCAATGAACATTTCCTCCCGAACCCCAATGCCGCTTGTAGGGCCGTGTCAACCCTAAACCCTAAACCCTAAACCCTAAACCCTAACGACAGAAGCTTGAGATGGGCAAAGTCATGCGACCGAAGCAATGGAAAGGGGTGAGAAAAAAGTCAGAGCAACGTACTTGGGGGGTCAGGGGGACTTAGTAAGTAGGTTAATAATTGGGATAAATGGGCTTACTATATGGGTTACAGGGGTTATTAACCTACTTGCTCAGTCTCCCTGACCCTCCAAGTACTGCAGACCTTTTTCAAACGAGAACGCAATTCCGCATCGGGTTCCCAGGTCCAAACAAGGGGGCCCGTGTTTCGGCGCATAATTTCCCATGAGACCAATATGTATCATGAGACAAGCAAACGAGGGTTTGGGGGTTATGGGGGTTATAGGGGGATAATGGAGAAGTAAATGGAAACTACCATATTACATAATAGGGTATATTGGGGCAAAGCGATGATCAGATTGAAGAGGTCTCGGTTCGTGCAGTGGGCAAATTGAAGTGAACGTGGGCGTTGCAAGTTCGTGCTCAGTGATGCAAGCAAATTCATGGACGCAGAAGGACGGTGGGGGCACAACATCGCATGTTCAGCATTTGCTTATACTGTGTTGTTGCAAGACATTCCATGAGATGAAAGGCTTCAAATGTCGGATTTTGACCGTTAGTTAGCTTGGGGATGATCGAAGTTAATCATGTTTTTCCTGCTGGATCGGGTAGGAGTCCTGAGCTGAGCACAGGGGCCTCAGGGGGTTGCCCACAATGAAATGAGCACCTCCACGACAAAACAATATCAAGGCCGCGCACCAAGCGCAAAAACAACACAAACAGCAAAACAAGCAATCTTATCGATCCCAGTTGTGAGGAGCTATAGTTTTGTGGTGTTTTTGGGTGGATATAGCATGCCTTCATGTTTCAGACACACCCCCGGTAGCAACATTTTGTAGCAAGCACCACAACTGCTGTAACCATCAGTGAAATCGGTACACAAAAAGGTTTCTTCATTATTTTGTTCTTAACCATTTGTTGATATTCTTAGCCTTGTTCGCAGTTTGATTTGTGTTAAGATTAGTATTAGTAGGAGTAGGAGCCAAAGTACGTCCACTCAATTACGGGATTAAAAAAGGAAGGGGTCTTGTCAGGCAAGGAGACATTTCTCAAAAGTATGGGCCCTTCTAGAGGTCTCTCTGCTGGAGGTCATGCTCTTTGGAGGGGGAAGAGGATGAAGCTCATCTTGCAGTCGCCCAAATTTCATGAGAGGACTTTGAGGGACACCCCAAACCCTAAACCCTAAACAGCAGTTTCCCTTTCATTTTCCATTATCCCAATATAATCCTTATGCAACTCCTACCCAGCAGCTCAACGCATAAGGCCCCAGAGCAGCTTTCAGCCGGCTGCACAGCCCTTGCTACAGCCGGGGCCATCCGCATTTCCGCCACCCGCTTTTCCATCACCAAATTTTCCGCCACCGCAGCCTTTCCAACCCATGCCCACACAGCCATCGCAGCCACAACTGGCACAGCCACCAGTGGCACAGCCACCGCTGGCGCAGCCACCACTGGCGCAGCCATCAGTGGCGCAGCCACCCATGGCACAACCACCACAGACATCAATGGCGCAGCCACCACAGATGTCAGCCGCGCCCACACCAGGACCACCTGCAAATCCTTTTTCCGCCCCTTCTCAAGTCGCCACCGCAGGCAGGGATGATGCTCAAGCATGTTCGCTCATGATGGAATGATATTGAGTATTGAGCCAGGCCAATTCTCCAGTCCAGCTTACCCAACGCCGCCGCTTGCTCAGCCAAAAAAGAATCATGGCTCGAAGAAGAGTCATAGTTCTTAAAAGGGACAGGCATTTCTCTGAGGCCAAGTCCAATGAACTCTCACGGCTTTGGCCCGCCTTCTTCCTTCTCCGCGCCGCCGCCTGCTGCAGGGCAGGTGGACCCAACTCTTCACAAGACGTGGTCCAAGTGCCATCTGCTACATGAGCTAGAGTCTAAACTCCTTAGAGGGAGTTATATAAGGGATTATATAGGGGACTACCATGCAGGACATTAAGGGTGATACTGGGAGTTTAGACAATGGCTCGTATGCGCGCGGCAGGCGCCGATGGGTCAGCCTCCCTTTGCCCCCAGCGCTCCTTTTGGTGGTGGCCAAGTTCTTAGCGTAGAATATACCATAACATACCATAATATACTATAACATACCATAATATACCCCAGAACATTCCATAACATACTATAGTATACCATAATACCCATAACATACCATAACATACTATAATACCATAATATACCCCAGAACCTACCATAACATACTATAATCTACCATAATATACCCCGTAATCTACCATAATGTACTATAACATGGAGATCCCCGCAAGATGGTACCGGGCGGAGTCTTGCAGCGCCTCAGGTGGCTTCGGAGATGGCTTTGCCTCTGACTAAGTTGCAGTCTCATGGCTGGGCAGTGCCCAAGTGAAGCCTCGCGGTTTAGGGTTTAGGGTTTAGGGGCCAGAATCGCATGGGAGCTAAGTAGAAGAGCTTCAATATCATCCATCATATGAGGCTCCCCCCAGAATCCCCTTACCTTTATTAGTGTTATTATTACTGTTATTATGATTATTCTTATTTCTATTTTTGATAACATTACCCTAAACCCTAAACCATTTTTTAATGTTTTGAGCATCCCCCTCATATGCTCAGGGCCTGCAGCCAGATGGAGGGGGCGCTTCCCAGGCATCCTGCAGTCAAAAATAGGGTAGCTCAGGGATCTCAAGAATTTCGAAGGATGTTTTAGGGTTTAGGGTTTAGGATTTAAGGTTTAGGATTTAGGGTTTAGGTTTTAGGGATTTTAGGGATCTTAGGAATTTTTAGGGGGTCCTTATTCGGGATTCTGCAGGGATCATTTGGGAAATTTCCCATCGCTGCAACGCTCGCATGCCAGGACAGATCAAAACCGCCCGAGCGGATGGACTATGCAGATACGTTGGAAAATGACCCCTTGCTCAGCGCTGGCAAGGCCATGGCCAACCCAAGCTAGTGCTGGACATGTTCCGCCCGGATGCGTGCCAGGCGGTTCTGGGCTTTGGCAAGTCGCTTTTTTCGGTTGGTGGCTCAGGGCTGTGACGTTTTGAGAATCCTGCAGCACTGCACCCCACCCTCTGGCCGTTGCAGACAAGGCTGCCAATGCTGCCATGAAGGGAGCGCAGGGGGACAACAGGAACAGCCCGGAGAAAGAGGAGAAGAAGGCCATCTCGGCGATTTGCTGGTTTGCTTTTGCATCTTCCTTTCTCATCTCCCTATGAATCAGGAGTCGGGGTTCTATTACGACAAGGAGAGAGGTCGTTGGATGCAACGTGGCGTGGAGGAGCCAAGACACCTTAATTTACTTGCTTCAAACCCATGACTTTCAGTTTCTCTGCCTACGAGTTCCTAGCGTTCTGGGAATTTATTGCAGCTGCATTCTTGACGCTAGTGTACTTAAGTGCTGCCGCGGCAAGGTGTACATTTCTTGAAATGTGGTGCCCGTTCATCTCCCAGGACCCCAAAATGGATCAAGCAAGTTGAGAAGCCAGGGCTTGAGACCCCAATATACTGCAACCCTTACTTGCAGAATGGAAACTTCAAAAAAGAAACCCTAAACCCTAAACCCTAAAACCCTAAACCCTGCTAATTTTCAGAAACCCCCAAGGCTTAAGCTGATATTGGGAACCGGCTAAGGCCCCCCTACCCAAAACTTACTGGTGCTTAAGGGTGAGTGGGGGAGTGGATCCCTATGATAATCCCTATATAATCCCACTATATACCCCTTTAACAGCGCCTATATTCACTTCCCAACTCCCCCTCAAGCACTAGCAGGAAAACCCCAAACCCTAAATCCTGAACCCTAAACCCTAAACCCCAAACCCTAAACCCCCAAACCCTTACACCCGAGGAGAAGGATCAGGATGATATCTCCCAGTACGACCCTCTAACGGGCAAGAAGTTGCTTCCCAAGGCGGGAGCCCCGGTAATAGAAACAGTAGTAGGGTTAAGGGTTTAGGGTTTAAGGGTTTTGGGTTTAAGGGTTTAGGGTAATAGAAACAGTAGTAGTTAACAGTAACATTAGTAGTGCTATTATCATGGTTAGTATTAGTATTATTGTTGTTATTATTGCTATTAGAATTATTGTTGCTATAGTATTGTTATGGTTCGTATTATTGTCAGTAGTATTTTCTGTTATTGTTATTAGTAGTAGCACTAGTAGTAGAAGAGGCAATAGTAATAGTATAAGAAGAAGAAGAAGTTGTAGTAGTGGTGGTGGTGGTGGTGGTTCTAGTAATAGTACTAGGAATAGCCAAAAGTAATAGTAGTAGTATTTTTGGTCATAATCGTCGGCCAGCATCAAAGGTTTGGGGTTGAGCCCTTTAGGGGCTGCGGGCTGCGGTTGTAGAAACCAGGAGTCCTGGGAACACTCAGAAACGTGACAACTACAACGATAAGCTACCATTTCAGGGCTGTCAAGTACATAGCTGCGGGATTAGGGTTTCGAAGCTTGTCTACTTATGTTTGGAGACTGCTGCGCAGTGGCTTTAGCACAGTGGGCCTAGGCCCTGACTGATCCTAGCTTAGCACATGTTCAAGCCTTCATGATTCTTGTCGAGGAATTTAGAAATGCAGATTCTACAGTCCCCACTGTAGAGTATTGCAGAGTAAGATCATCTTCTCTAATTGGTTGTCATCGCTTGGAAAAAAGAAGTCAGGTAATTGTACTTGTGCCAACCACAAAAAACTGGATTCTACACCCAAAACTTTTTGATTCTGGGTTCAGCTACCGAAAAAGCACCATTCAGCTACTTGGTGAGTGATGCGGCTGCTAGGTGTCGGACATACCGCCTCCTCCGTCAATGGTTGGAATCCGAGTGCCTGAAGTTGTACGAAATGCATGTGTGTGCTGGTATATCTGTATGATATCGAATAAATAAAGAAGATTCGTGGTGGTGGTTAATGTGCATTCAGTTCGAATACTGGTAAGAATATGTGTGGGCTTTCTATATATATACATATATATATATATGTGTGTGTGTGTGTACATGCGCGTGCGCACGTGATTCAAGCTTTTCAGCTTGTGCTTTAAGGGCGGCTTCGGACCTCCACCCGTCGGTCCACCGCCAAGTGGCGTGGCACCGCCGATGGGTCCACCACCCACTGGAGGTCCTCCAATGGGTGGGCCACCTCCCATGGGTGGCCCACCACCAATGGGTGGTCCCCCAATGGGTGGTCCACCTCCGATGGGTGTGCAGCCCCCAGCAGGGGGCCCACCCTCCATGGGTGGGCCACCACCTATGGGCGGACCTCCAATGAGTGGACCGCCAGCAGGAGGCGCCTGCTTGCGACATAGCCGAAGGATATGGATCTGGTCAGTTTAAGCGCCAGGCAACCCATACTCTGCTGGAGCTTTCCAAAGAAATGCTGGCGCATCGGCCCTCTATGCCTGTCCGCCCTGTTTCTTTTCAGCAGAATTCACGGGCTTGCTCTCATGGGTGACAGGTGAATCCGCTTGGAGGACCAGCAGGTGCGGATTGTTGTGTTGTCATAAGGCAATTCGCAAAGAAGATGTTCACAAACATGCTCGCATGTGCAGTTCTCAAAATGCGGGCCTTGTTTGCGCCTACACTACAAGGGGCATTCAGTTCAGAATCTGAAACAAGGCTCCTAATCCAACTTGCCATTATCCGCACATCCCACACGTCATGATTTCAGTCTGTGGAGAACATGTGCGTGCCCACAGGCTTGTTTGTTTGGATGCTACCTAAACCCATATGATGTCTTGAAAAATGTTGCTGCTCAAGCCCTGCAACACGCTTTCTACTGTAGATAATGTCAAGTAGGGCTAGAAGTAAGATGAGAGTTGCAAGCAATCCTGTTGTTCTACTTTTCTGTGCAGGCGGTGCAGCGTCGAAGACCAAGAGCTTGCCCTTGTGCTTGAGAATTGAAGTAAGGTACCTGTAATGCTGGAACAGCGTGTGGGCCTCTATTCTGCGAGGTCTTATGTGAAGGACTGTACTTTGTTGATGGGTATTTTAGAGGCGCCGGTATTGGCAGACATTCTGTGAACACACATGTACTATAGTCTAAACTCCCTAAAGGGGGATATATGGGGGCTTATATAGGGGACTACTATAGGGGTTATTAAGGGGGATACTAGGAGTTTAGACTATGGCTCACATGAAGTTACTCAAAATCAGACCTGCAACAGGTATAGCAGACGCTTGTGCGCTCACCCATGGACTACCCAAATCACCCCCACTGATACTTGGGGGGTCAGGGGAACGTGGTAAGTAGGTTAATAATGGGGATAAATGGGCTTACTATATGGGTTATAGGGGTTACTAACCTACTTACTAAGTCTCCCTGACCCTCCAAGTACTATCACCATTTGATTGCGGGGAACTCACGTGGTAGTATGGGGTCTTTGGTGGGTCAATGGGCAGAACACTGAGTGTCCAGAAGTACGTCCCACTGTTGTACCCACGAAGTAGCTGCGGCGCTCGCTCGCAGTTTTGGGATTTCTTTGTGCATTTCCTTGAAGATTGCAACGGGCCGAAAGCTAAACGGGCCTCCTTTCCCCAAGACTCTGCATACGCACTCTTCTGCCAACAAGGCCTCAAGTTCTCAGTCCCGGAGCAAGTAAAGTATCATGATTAAGGCTTATTCCGGGTGAGAACTCCTCCAAAAGCCAGGCCACTCAAATGAGCTTGTCGGTACTTCATGCCCTCCGATGTGCGAGAAGTTGGTTGTCGGTTGTTGGTCTTGAATTCCTGCACTGTATACACCCCCTGTGCAAGTCCAATCCTATACCCCTGAACCGTGTAGATACTGTATACACACATACCCATGTGTGTGCACATGCATGTAGATGTGTGTATGTACTTATTGTACACAGACACACACACACACACTCAGAGAAATTTCCCCAAACCCTGGACGGTAAAATTGGTGTAAGGCCCTGCGGTGGAATGGGAGCGTGTGGAGCAGGCGCTGGAGTTGCTGCCTCAGTGTAAGCTTAGACCTGTTAGCCCCTAGTCTGGGCCATTAGCCTGTTTTGGGAGAGACTACATACCAAAAAAAGGGGGTACATACATATATGTCGCTTGCCTTAGTACCCTAAGGTTACTCCATGTCCTTATACGGGATTCATAGAGGGATGCGGGAATGCGGGCTTCGTATGCTTTTACAACAGCCATGCGCTTAGGTCAGCATGTTTTGGCGTCATGGCAAAAACTTAGCTTTCAATGTCTGCAGGTTTGAGGTGGGTAAAAAAGCCATACAACCACAGTTGTAGTCGGTACTTAAGGTAGACAGTTAACCACAAGAAACGCTACTGGTAGCTTCGCATGAAGTTCCAAGTGCGTAATGCAGTGTAGGGCTGAAGCGGGCGACAATATCGCGCCATCCGGAAGCCACCCTTAACTGGTGATTGGTTGGGGCTGGATGGACACGGGTTGGGGTTCAGGGCTTCTTCCTCCAGCCGACAGTACTGTAGAGCACGCAGACATTGTGCCCTGTACATCTAATTTCAACCACATGCTCCCATTGCCGAACACTGGGGTCTCAGCAGCTGTCCCATCATCACGGTTGTTACAAGGACTGTGTACGATAGTACAGCCCCTGCCAGTTTGTGAAACAGCTACACACCCGATACGACCAAAGGGTTTCTCAGGCGAACAAGCCTTGTAGTTTCAAGCCCCGCATGCCCGCTAGTCTTTTCATCTAAGTCTTTTGTAGGCTTTGTACTATTACACCGCATGTGCCTCCCAACCTGCAACCCATCTAAGCTCGCTTTAAGGGCAGTAGTCTCTGCGCGGCCGTTTCGGGCTCTCATGGTAGTTCGAGGGGTGGGTCTTTCCACGTCCCATATGTTGGGATGACTGAGGCCGCACCGGCTTCGCTTTCAGGAGGTGCGCATGCTAGTTAGGGATTCCATTCCAGCCACGTGCAGGAGTTCAGCAGACGGGTTTAAGAAGCACTTTTGGGGATGATGCTGTGGGGATTTCCCTGTCTTTGTCTAGTACGTGCTCTCGCAAGTTGAGACATTACTCTATCTAGTGCAGGTTTCTGGGCCCGTTCTTGCTACAGCAGCTCACGTAACTTGATGTCAGATGTTTCTTTGTGTAGATGTTTTCGCAGCATAGACAATGGGTGACTTCTTGGGGACGAGACCGGAGTTTCTGGAACTGAACGACGACAGCATTTTCAAAGTTATAGATCGTCATAAAGGCTGTGAGAGACACAGGAGGATTTCTAGTTTTAAGCGCGTCCCAACAAGGCCCCCCTGTGTGGTTTCGGAAGTACTAATCCCTGGATATTGCGACCGAAGGATAAAGACTTCGCTGCTCTCCAGCGGTCCAGTGTTGGGCATATTTGTCACTAGGGGATCAATGTTAGGGATCCTTTATACTTTTTGGGGTATGGGATTCTATACATTTATGTACAAAGGATCCTTTTTTATTCCTAGGGTAATGTGGGCTAAGACTAGGGGCCCTAAACCTCAAACCCTAAACCCTAAACCCTTAACCCCAAACCCTAAACCCCAAACCCTAAACCCCAAACCCTAAACCCGTAAACCCTTTTTTAGGGGGCTTGGGGGGGTTGTGATTGCACGGCTTTAGCTCGCTGCCGCTCTGCGCTGAGAGGACCGCCACAAGCGACTCCCTTTGCGCAGGCACCCTCTAAAGGGGGTTATAGGGGTTATATAGGGATATATATATATACATATATAATAAGGGTACCTTTTAAGGAGTCAATAATAGGTGTGTGTGTGTGTGTTTGTTTTTTGCTGGTTCCAAGCTGGGAAAGGAAAAACTCAATCTATCAAGATGCAATGTCCTAACTCCTTCACACAATCCAAATCTTGTCTAGGTTGCAAGGACAGGGCCGTGCTTCTCTCGTGCTATGTAGGGCGGAATTATTTGCAGTGTTTCAATTTGAGCAACTAGCTGGGGCGTTCCATTTATTCGGGCGCTTTGGGGGTCTGGGTGCACAGCCTGAGGTAGGCTTGACTGGGTTCTTTTTCAAAAGTGATTGCTTCCAGACCACACACGGGAGAGAAGCATCCTTCTCTCAACTTGCCATGTTCAGGCTGGCATGGTGAGAGCGACGCCGTTTGGATAGCTCGCAAAAAAGTTTACAGAAGCTTGCCTTCTCATCCGAACTTCCATCCAGAGTTATTGGACGGCAGGTTGGACTGCAAACCTTCTTCCATCTGACCCATTGGACTTGCGGGATTGCTGCACGTGGACTTGTGTGCTCTGGGCACCTGAGTTGTACTGGAAGCAGGCATCAGTAAAGAATGGTAGAACCATGTCTCCAAGTTCGTGGCCGTGCGAGCAGGACCGCTTTGCATGGTACCTTGGTACCTGTAGCTGCGTCTTCAGGCTCAAGCGTCAAGCTCCATGTGTGCAAGAAAGATGGCAGTTGCCGTGCAGACTATTGTGCTTCACCATGCCCTGCAAGCCACGACCATTTCACCACTCCAGAGTCGCACGCTGCTGCTAGACAGAACTACTCTGCGTACAGACGGTCAGCAGCCAGGCTAACAAAGCATAACACTGAAAGGATTTGGGCCTTTCTGTGTCTTTCTAATCACATCCTCAAAGTGATCTACTTCCCGTGTTAAGGATCCCAAACGGGGCCCTGCCTTTGGAGAAGCCCCCATCAAGCAGGTTATGTCCCCATCCAGAGGGACGTTCCTGCGATGGTTGTTGCTGACCCTGGCTGCCGCACCGGCACTTCCCTAAGATGGGTTCTCATAGGAGGACCCTTGGAGCCTGGGGATATGTGGGGATAAGTGTTTTTATTCCTTGCTCAGGCGGGCATCATTGTGAGAAACATCCCGATGAGTTTGGAGACAGCTGCAGGGTCCCTCTTCAGGGTTGCGTGGGCATGTGAGTAGTACTTCATTTGGAGATACTTGAGACCCGAATAGAGAGCAAGATCATATCCTCCATTTGGGTATAGTTGCTATATACAGAACTTGATCTTACTTGGTTCAGCCACCAAAAGACATTACTCATGTAGGATGTATGGGTACTTGTTTAGAAGCTGTAATTTTGGGAAACCCTAGGGTTTAGGGTTTAGGGATTTTGGGAACCCCTTCCCTAACCAAATCGTGAGTGCTTCAAGTCAATATTGCCTATAGTAGTTCTAGTAGTTTCCATTCCCTTTTCCATTATCCCAATATAACCCCAAAATAAAATGGAAACTACTGTCTTCTCGGAGGTATGTGCCATCATGTGCTGGACGCAGCCTCAGCACTGCCACTTGAGCACGGCCGATATTGATTATGCTTACTTCAGGAATACTCAGGTGGACATACCGTTCCTCACAGAATTTGATTATGATCCCCCATACTAAAATAGTAGTTTCCCAAAATAAGGGGACCAATATAGACCCCAATATACTATAGTCCTTATTATAAGGACCCCCAAAAAGGGTACCCCTAATTTTGGGAAACTCCCAAATGATTCCCACGGTTTTAGGGTCATGCAGGATGTTGATGCTGTGGCATTGACCTTTCTAAGCTCACAGCTGCAGCTTCGAAAGCATAGATGCGCCTCTCATCAAGCGCAGGTCATATTCTACCAGAGAGCCGCAAAAAGACCATCACTTTGAAATAAACCCTAAACCCTAAACCCTAAACCGCGTATGATGCTCGCGTTTCAGGATCGGCAGCGCCGGCCCTTTTGTTCCGCAGAGGTCTGCTGCTATGACTTCTTATAGCAGGGAATCCTGCAAAGGATTGTTCGAATGCTTCTTGGAGATTATCTGGGTTCCTCAACAAGATGCTCGGGATATGAAAGGGTTGCTCAAGGCATTATGGGGTCGTTTTAAGATGCGTGTAGGGATGCTCTGAAGAAATTCCACAAAAAAAGGTAGTTACACAGCATCCGTGTGTCCATTCTCACAAAATGTTTGGTAGACGAAAGGGCCTTGCTTGTGACCCTAGGTGCCGATGGACCCGTCCTCACTGGGTTACATGTCCACTGTGTGATGGTTAGGGTCCGGATACCCAAACCACCCAAAGGAGCTAGAAAGAAGACACCCCTTCTGCCCATTGGCCATTACTATGTTTACTTGGAGGGTCATGGAGACTTAGTAAGTAGGTTAACAACACCTACAAGCCAGTTAATACTTACAAAGTCCCCATGACTCTCCAAGTACTAACATTTGGGGATTGGTCTAAATTCCCTCCTATAGTACGGGGCCCTATATTTGGGTTCCTATCATAATACGGGGCCCTATATACATTTCCCCCATTTTGGGAACAGTAATTTAGGGAAACTACCATAGCCTCACGGGGTTGGAGTACGGAGGTGCGGGCAGCTCCCTCGGAGGACTGGCCAGCAGCTGAGCTGGGATCTAGACGTGAAGCCAGGTGGAAGAGATCCAAAGAAAGTCACTAGAAGTCCAAGTAGGGGGTTATAGCAGTTATAAAGGATTATAGTGCCAATTAACAGGTTATAGTAACAATCAAGAGATTACAGTAACAGCACTTGGGCACAGTCAGAATCGTATCAGCTTTAATAGCGGCGATAGGTTTACTCAACTTCCATTCTGTTTTAGGGTGGGCGGGGGTCAGCTGGTGTGGATGTCGTGGGTGGACAGCGGCTGCACCTCATGGCAGTGCATGAATGGCGCCTTTCTGAAACAACGCACTTAGCAAGTCTCCTCCTGCTCTCAAAATGCTACACTTCGGGGGTTGCATGTTTTGCTTTTGCTCTGACGAGACTTGGAATGTTGAGACCGGTGATGGACTGTGCGGCAGTTGGCCCGCTGAAATCAAAAAGCGTAACCTTCCGCCACATGTGGCTCTGCAACTGTAATAACGTGTGGCGGATGCAGCAACATCTGCCGCGAAGTTGTTGGTGTTCTGTGCCTATGTTCGATGAGCCTATATATGTTACTGATTTCGGTTTCTGACATTGCAGTGAAGCCGAAGTTACTGGTATCTATATCGTGGCCTTCTAGCTGCTCGGGCTCTTGGAAATGGTAATTCCAGGCTAGGCAGTACCAGAGCTTTTTTTGGTGGATCCCAGGTCTAACTGCAACACAATGTGCCTAGAAAAAACTGCCTAGCAGCCAGAGCACGGAGATAGCTGGTGGTAAGCGCACAAGGTTGTTTGAATCGCTTTATCCTTCTTGTTCCCTTTACTCGTCCACTGGCAGCCGCAAAATCATCACTTCCTGTTGTGGGCTCCCTGGCGCAAGCGTCCACGCGTTTTGTGGATTGTATACTGTATACAGCGTATAGCGTTCCGCTGGCATACCGCCCACCCCGTTCTTAGGTAAAACAACATGGGGGATTGTCAAAATTATGGTCCCTTTTTGGGTCCCTATTATAATACGGGGCCTAATACGGGGCCTAATTTAGGGGACCCAGAAAAGGACCATAATTTTGACAATCCCCCACATGAGTTGTTCCATTGCTGAAGCTGCCAGGCATCTTACGGCTATTGTAATTGTGCTAATTGTGCATCTTGTGCTTGGAGGGTCATGGGGACTTAATTAGTAATGGAGACTTATAAAGGGGCTATATAATAATAATGGAAAAGAAAATGGAAGCTACTATAGTATTTAGGGTTTAGGGTTTAGGGTCATGGGGACTTAGTAAGTAGGTTAATAACCCGTATAAGCCATATCATAACCCTACTTATCCCCACGATTCACCCACTTACTAAGTCCCCATGACCCTCCAAGTGAGTTGTCCCAGCTTCCCGTTGCAGCTGCGGTTGCTGCATCTTGTCCCCCTTCGAGTTGCATCACGATTTAAACAAGGAGGATTGCCGGCAAAGCTCGTTCTGCAGGCGCTGGGCCCAACTCCAACCTCAAGTTTGAGACTATATAGGGATAATGGAAAAGAAAATGGAAACTACAAGGATTCTAGGGGTTATATAGGGATCATAAGGAATATATTGGGCTTATATTGGGATAATGGAAAAGAAAATGGAAACTACAGGGGTTATAGCGATTTTATTTCTATAGGGGTTATATAGGGGTTATATGGGGATTATATAGGGTTGTAGAAAGGAAATTGAGCTTCTCCGAACTGGGGATTCCGTGGGCGTTTAAGGATTATGACGGCATTCTTGGAGAGCATACAGGAGTTGAGTCATTTACCTTTCCAGCGCGTAAAACATGAGTCCTTAACCCTAAAGTCTAAACCCTAAACCTAACACTTTGCAAGGCTGGGCCGACGCCGTACACCTCAGACGAGTGCGCAGAGACTTCCGGATCCTGTGACTCTATCATACTTGGGGGGTCAGGGGGACCTAGCAATAATGGAGAAGAAAATGGAAACTATTGTAGGATTTTATGGTATAGGGTTTAGGGTCAGGGGGACTTAGTAATAGGTTGATAATGGGGATAGACGGGCTTATTTTGGGAATTAGGGACTATTAACCTACTTAACAGGTCTCCCTGACCCTCCAAGTAGTGGGGCTTCTCAAAAAGCAGAGCCCTTAAACCCTTCACCCTAAACCCTAAACCCTGGGACACCAGAGGTATGTGGCAATACGTAAGTTTTAGGTGTTCACTTGTTATGCTGAGAATTGTTGGTTTTCCTTTGCAGGTACTACACCCGAAAAGCAAGAGAAGAAGGTGTGCCCAGGACTCAGTGGTTTGTGGCAGAGGTAGATCGTGTTGTTACATGCAGGCTCCTGGGCCCATAGCGCTTTAACAGCTCTGTTGTAAGGCCAGCGCGTGCCTACTACAAGCTCGAGGAATTAGACCGCAGGCGCTCACTGTTGCTGGTATGGCTTCTGGTTCTGTGCGTGACCAACGCATGCCTGTTTAACAGCAGTAGCTGGTGGCGGTGGTGTGCATCACGATGAGCTGTTAATACTCATCGCCTCATCAGTGCTTGGTCAGATGCCGCAGCAGCAGCAGCAGCAGCAGCAGCGGCAGCAGCAGCAGCAGCTTGTAAGGTACGGTCGCAATCACAGACATAGTAGGGTCCCTAAGGAATGCCGGTGGGACTGCATATGCATTGTCATTGGGGTGATCAGAATTCCGCCTCATATCCTCACAACTATCCAGTGAAGCGCTGTGGTGCTGACTACCAGGTGTTGCATCGCCAAGTGTCATGTGTAAAAGGGGCGCCCCTTAGAACACCT